TCTAACTTCATCGAAACATGAACAGCTCTTGGCACAATGCTTGCATATGGTAAAATCTTCACTACTTCACATTTTTGAACAATCAAGTTGCTCATTTTTCAGCTACGCTATCACCTTGAGGTTATTGCTCATCTGCCGCCCACTGAAACCATGGTTCTTTACATATTCAAGTAAATATAAGTCTTCCTACTTTGAAAAATTCATTCATTGTTTTTCCAGTGAAGAGATATGCAAACAATATGTGGCCAACACTGAAGAAATCTACAAATTGTGAGTAATTACGGATACGCACTAACTATTGAAGTTTTTTCGAGGGTCAAAGTCGAACAGGAAACGCGAGAAAAAACTCGGAGAGAATTCTAGGCATCTCTCTTGCATGCCACATGATTTTTATAGGTTCACGACATTTATTCAGAACAAGATAAGAATTTGTTGTGTGCCAGGCGATTTGATAAGCGGCTGCTAAATATTAACCGCGACGAATGAAAAGAAATCATGATCTAAGAAATCTCTAAGCAGTTTCGAACCTCTGAAGATATTAGCGCTGGTTTTAGTTGATACAATTCTGATAAACTTATTTAGTGAAGTTGGAGACCATTCTAACTTCAAACTTAAATTTGCCATTGCACGCTTCAATGGAAAAAGTCAAAAAACAATCGTACGGTCGGGATCAATTATCAAACGGTATGAAAAATTGAATGCATAGAAAAACAAGAATTTTTCATTCCATTTACAGCTTGATGCAAATTGATCGGAGAGAAGACGAGTGCGTTCAAATTTCGCAGCTTCCAATTGGCAATTTGGTGAAAAAGACAATATTATTGAAAGGTCGTCAATATGCGGTAGAACTGAAGCTTTTGGTGAGAGAAGTCTCTCATTCTTGGATTTTCCTTAGTGAAATCTTGTTCTACAGAAAACTATCGACCACGAAAACATGCCAGTGCTTAAATTCCAAGATTTGTTAGAGCTCACAAGAGCCCTACACGAGTACGATGCAGAAATGGAGGTGAGCTTTGCTAAGGAGTGCAAGATTCAGGGTGTTAAATATTGGCTAATGAGAACAAAAGGCACCGTTGACCCAAATCGGAGACCAGTAAGATTTGATGCACTGCAGAGCGAGGGCTAACTAATAGCAACCCCAATTGGTCAAGTCCCGTAGTAATCTGTGTATTCCTAAGCGAGGTAATTGCGCCAAAAGGTGAATGCTTCCGGGGACGCCACGC